GAAGTGATCCGAGGTGTGCAGTGGAGTAACGAGCACATGATCAGTGGAGCAGTGTCAATGGATATTATTATTATTATATATAATTATTATTATATTAGCATATTACCTGGCCCATTGTGTGTTCATTTATTAATATTTTGACTTAAAAACAACTTGCCTATGCTTTCACTTAGCAATGTGTAGTAATAATTTAAATGGGTCATCCTACTAGTGTTCTGCATATTTTTTTTTGTGTATTTGGTGTAATGAAATGTGTTTATGCGGTTTAAAGTTAAAAAAACACATTATTTTCTTTGCGTGAACATTTGGGCGGTGTTATGCAAATCTTCCCACATAGTGTGGTAGATATGTGGGGGCGTGTTCGAACGAGCCGTTTTAGGTAGGTGTGGCTAACTCTTAACTTTTATAAAGAATATCTCTTTGGATTTGAGACTTTAGTCTTTGCAACTTTACAGATCTACTTTATGCACCAAGAGCTTGTAACACTCCAAAGAGAAAGGAAAAAATGAAATCGCATCATATGACCCCTTTAAATCAGTAGGCCTACTAGTGTTCTGCATATTTTTGCCCCAACAGCACAGACAATATGAAAGTGTGCTGAACGAATATTTGTGTTTGACTTGAGCTGGATCTTTTTTTTTTTTTTTTTGCAGGAAGGCAGATGCCCAGCAGCAGGTGATGTAACGGGGTGCTGCTGACCTTAGGCCAGATTTAATGGTCTTTGTATATTAGGGAACCTGATACTAAAAAAATGCAAACGGAGAAGCTCTGAACAAACTCACATGTTCTCGCATTGCTGTTTCCACAGTGGGGGACATCATGATGACACAGGTCACCGTGACCAACATGAAGAAGAGGGCGTACATGAAGCGTGTGGAGGTGGACTGTTTGATCTTGGGACAGCAGCCGCAGCACAGAGAGCAGGCAGCCGATCCACAGCAGCAGGCCAGCTGCAGAAAAACAGCACATGAGTGAGCGGGACACATGCAAGTGCTTGACGATAACAGTTCACAAACCATTACAATGATTTACAATTAAACAAATGGATTTTAAAGCACATCTGCACATATAAAAGAATAAAATATGCCAATTAAAGTGTTACTGTAAACCAAGGCAAAGACAACACAATCTTTTTAAGATTAAGTAATATATACTTTTCAGCTGAAATAAACCAATACAAGTCTATAATGTACTGTGAAACTGAACAAATGCATTGAGGGGACTTTGAACGTCTTATTGGTCATCATCCCCTTTAGCAACACAAATGCCTAATTCCTATTGGCTGTAAGCAATAGTAGAGCAGGGCTGTTACTATGAGGCAACTTGATTCACATGACGCAAGACACAGACATAACATGAGGCTCCGAGATCAGATTGAGTAGATACAGTATCAGTACAAATGTTTCTAGACGTTTTAGAAAATCCCATAATCTTTTCTACTATTGTTTGTAGACATTATGCAGCCAGAGAAGAAAAGAAAAAGTAATGGTTAATTATCATCCTTTTAATGTTTAAAGGATGTTGTAAATACATGAGTTACGTTAGTTTTGTACGTTTAAAATGTTCTTAAAATACAGATTTAGATGATTAAAGGGGTCATATGATGCTCCTAAAAAGAACATTATTTTGTGTATTTGGTGTAATGAAATGTGTTTATGCGGTTTAAGGTTCAAAAAACACATTATTTTCCACATACTGTACATTATTGTTTCTCCTCTATGCCCCGCCTTTCTGAAACGC